TTTTTTGCAGATGGTGTGATGCTTTTTTTGAGAGATTATAGAGAAGACTTAGATAATTTAAACCAACTTCTCACTAAATTCCAACAAGCTTCTGGTCAAATGATTAATTTTGAAAAGTCTAGAGTCTATTGTAGTAAGAATATTCACCCTTGGCACCAACGTACGATTAAAAGACAACTACATATCAGCATCAACCAGAATTCTGAATACCTAGGCATTCCTCTCTTTTGGTCCAACAATAGATATTCTCAACTTAGCTTTATCCTGGACAATATGAAAGCTAAATTAAACAACTGGAGAGCCTCTGCCATTAGTCAAGCTGGAAAGAAAATTCTTATCTAGTCAATTCTTCAAGCTTTACCTATTCATTCAATGAGTCTTATTCAGTTTCCCCATAAAACAATAGATCAAATGAATAAAATAGTTAAAAGTTTATGGTGGGGTGTTTCTGGTTCTCGAAAGCATCATCATCATTGGTGTTCTTGGAATACTCTCTTATTACCAAAAGATTTTGGTGGATTAGGTTTTAAAAATCTCACTCTGGTAAACCATGCCCTTCTCAAGAAAATTGCTTGGAGATTTTTAAATGAACAACACAAACTCTAGGCACAGATATGGAAGTCTAAATATCTCAAACCTGATACTACTAGTCCATATGTCATTACCTCTACTAGTTCTATTTGTTGGAAAGCTGTTTGTCCAAAAGTAATAGAACTAGCTTCTGAAATAGGTTATCTGGTGAATGAAAACTCCAACTTCTTCATTCCGCACTTCCCTTGGATTCAGAAAAATCACAAATTTCACTAGACTACTTTTCCTATTGCCCCTCATTTGCAAAATTTTAATATTTCTTCCATAATTTCTGAAGGACAATGGAATACCAATATAATTTAGCAAATTTTTTCGAGAGAGGAAGCAAGGGATATATTACACACCCCTATTTTTTCTCCCAACAATGAATTGAACTGGATTTGAACCCAACACCATTCTATAAAATACACAGTTAAGGAGGAATACAGAATTAAATAGAAGACTGTGCTTCCACATCTATTAGATAATTGAACTGGATTTTTCCTCCTCGTTATCAACTCTTTCTATGGAGAATTCTTAACAACTTTGCTCCAGTGAAAGCTTCTCCCTTTTTAGATCTTTTAGATAAATTGTGTCCTCTGTGTGAAGAATGAAAAGAAACTCTTGCTCACCTTTTCATTAATTGTCAATTTCCTCAAGCTGTATTATTTGGCAACCTTTGGAACCTCAATTTACATATTTTTTTTTCAGGACTCTTGGACTTCCTATCTTAAGGATCTTTATAACTAACTTGCTAATAATCAACTTTTCCTTCAATTTTTAAATTGGTTAGCTATTGCTTGTGGTATGCCAGAAATGAGAAAATCTTCAGGAAGAAACAAATTCTACCTTCTCAAATCCTTTATATTGTTAACAGAATTTTTCAACAGTCCAGGCGACCAACACTATAGGAAATTTCACATCACTATTCCTTTGAAAATCACATACTGAATATGTCTGTTAATCATACTAATGAGCTAATTATCTTTATTGATGCAGGCAAAATTTTAGATTCATTATATACTTTTGGTATTGTGATTTTAAACACATAATTGGAATGTCTAAAAATCCTTGGAGGGAGAACATCTCATCCTACCTCTATTAACCAAGCTGAACCTTTTGCCATTATGCAGGTGATATTTAAATTACAACAATGGAGTCAAAGAGAAGTTCTGATATGCTCAGATGCAAAACAAATAGTCCAAGCTTTATAGAAGGATCCTACTCTTCCCTGGTTCTGCCATTGGTTTTTGTTAAGAACCAAAAACTTAATTTCCTTTTTACACCTCAATACTACCTTTCATTTTGTAAAGAGAACTTTTAATGTACCGGCTCATAAAGTCTCCCTATAGGCTAAATCTCATCCTTTATCTTATTTTGAATACTATGACTATCCTGAAGGGATTCCACGAGCTGAAAACTTTGTACATCTTTCTTTGATATAATATATATTTTGTTTATCTTCCAAAAAAATATTAGGTATGCATTTATTCTTTTACCCATTTACTACACTTTCATCTTGTACACCTCATACTTACTCACCTCATCCCTAGACACATCTCACTTGATCATTGGAATCCTCACCCTAGGATCTCTAATGAGCTGATTGTGATAATAGGAGCCTATAAAGTTCGTGGTGTAAACCAAATCATAATGCTCTCATTGGTGACTTTTCTGAATGTCATCACAAATAAAGTTCTCTTATTGAAGTCTTGATGACCACATCAAAAGTCACTAGAATGGGGCATAAATTGTGCAAGGTTGCCAAACAATAGGTTGCATGGAAAAAACTTTTGTGAAGTTTAGATGTTGATATCAACAATGACAACATTCTTCATGGCCTTAACAGAGAGGCACCCCTTAAACATATTTAGTGAGAGGGAATCCACTTCCAAGGATTCCTTTGAACAAGCCAAAATAGTTATATGGTGGATTTAAAAATGGGCTTGAAAAATCAATGGTTCTAGGCCGAACAGAGAGGCTTAAACATATTTAATGAGAGGAAATCCAAATAGTTCTCTAATGCAGTTTAATTTGTAGTTTTTGTTGCATTTAACTTCATTTGCATTGATGGGATTGCAAAGGCATTTAGAGTAGAAGATTGAGTTTATAGCTCCATCAATTGGAGCACAACAGTATTGTGTCTTTTAATGTGTTGTATTAAGGAGATTTTGAAAAACCAATTTTCCCTTATTTAATATGCAATGAACTGCAACAACAAAAAGTATTTTACATCTAATAGGAATGGCAACTCCGCAATCCCCGCTAGGGTTAAAAGTTGTCCCCTATCCCCAATCCCCAGTGAAGTCGGGTACTCGACGGGGATGGGGAAAATTGCCATCTCTAACATCTAACAAAAGGTCTAGAAATTGTGTTAGGCTATTAGTATCTTTTTAGGGTAAAATATACAAGCCTCCCTTAAGTTTTTTGACAATCTTATCTCCTATGTTTTGGTCTTAATAGAATCCTCCCCTATAGTTTTGAAATAAAGGTACAAATACCTACCTTCCAATAGAGTTTAAATGATTTATAAGAGAAAATTACCAAAATACCCTTAAATACTACGTACCAAGTACCATCATTCTCTTTGGGATGGATCCTCCTACCTCAAGTACAACAATAATAGTTTGATAGCAAAAGCATCTCCATGTAAATTCTTTGGTAACATTTATGTAGATTTTCATAAGATTTTAACAAGCAGTCGATAATCTTAGTTTTGATTCCATGTTTGGTTTCTCTGGTTTGTTAAGATTGTAACAACTCCATTTTTGCTCTTGATGCTCAATTTGAAGGAGTACAAATGCAAATATGTACAGTGCAAATACATACAAAATATAAGATTTTGCACTCTACATATTTATATTTGTATCCAAACGGAGCCTGAGGATCAATTCGTATGAAAGGCAGTATCTTTGCTTTGTTCATGTTAAATTTAATAAAATAATCTAGGTATGATTAAGAGAAATAGATTGCCCTTAGAACTTTGAAATATTAGTTTTTTTTTGTTCTGTTTTATGATGGAGGTTGTGTAAGGAACTTCTTTGAACACTCAGAGTTTGGTCACAAAAACATCATATGAAAACATTTTAAAGAAGAGTTGTTCTGTTTTGTTACTACCATCTAGCTTGTCCTTTTCGCCAAGTCTTACTTGTATCTATGGAGTTCAGATTTGTGCCCCACATCACATCTCTGCTGTGTATTTCAAACACCTCCCGATGATAGACTAAAATCGATGATGTCATCAGCTGGAGATGTTCCCAATACATGGCGGGGATATGTTGTGGGGCACCCGTTTGTGGGGGGCAGATGTGAACTCGTATCTATGATATATTGAGCGTATGAGATTGCTTTGCATATGATCATCAGGTTGTAATGGCTATATGGAATGCAATCAAAAGACAGCTAAAGCTTGGCCATAGCCATGTAATGGAACATAAGGAATATGATGCATCTTTGCATAACAACTAGTTATACAGAAACACATAGTTGAGAGGATAGGATTGAGAGTTCTTCACAGAGCTTAAAGGCTTAAATGCTTTGTTAATGGTTCCTTGATACCAACTTCACTTTGTATTAAGTTCATCAAATGGCATAGTTCATCTTGTATGAACACAGAACGGTGTGAGTAGAAATCCTGTGAGGACTGAATCCAGATTCCAATCAAACCATCTTAGCTGAATCATAAGCTCAGTCCTCCCAAACAGGCCTGAATATTTATTTGACAAAGAATAAGGGCTCGTTTGGTTTGCAGTTATAATTAGAATCAGAATCACTTATTCCTATAATCTATTTGGTTCATACAGGAATAGGAATAATATTCCAATTCTATCCAATCAAACAATTAGAATCGGAATGGGCTATTCCGGTTCTGATTCCAATTCCAAACTCTGATTCCTGTAAATCAAACGAGGCATTCAGATCCTTACTCGGGCTTTTTGGTAAGGCAGCATTTGCTTTAGGGCGGGGCTCGGTCGCTTGGACTTTGGAGTTTGGACCACCCTACCCTACATAGGCAATGCGAGGGCCTAAGCCTGGAGAGAGCCGACATTAATCGGACCGTCTGGTCCCCATAATTTGCCAGATTTCTTTTACGTACAGGACTCAGAGGGAGGAGGGACCAGGACCACCCACTAAGTGGAAGTGGGCCCAACCTAAGAGATTAACAAATCAAATTAATATTCATTTTCACAGCTAATCTCAGCTGTACTCTATGCACATGATAAGAAGAAAATCCAAAAAGACATCGGCAGATCGGATGGTTAGGAATCACCTTTGGGGTGGGGCCATGTACACTTTGAGTCAGACGCTTTTGGGTCCCACCCTTCTCATTAACCGCCATACTATGAGTTACGAATTGGGGTCATAACGGCCGTTATGCTGACCTATATGCCTATATCCCAATCCCACCTTTACTAAGTCGGCTAAGGGGGCATTTGGTGCCTAATTCCCGCTTTTGCTTTTTTTGCCGCGAAGGGGTGTTTCTGTAGTTTTCTTTTTGAAAACAATTGATGTTTTCTGGAGCTCCATTACAAAAGCAGTAAGGCTAGTAAGAGGGTTGAAACCAGTTGCAGAAACCATAGAGAGAGAGAGAAAGGAAACCAGAAAGGTAAGAGAAATAGAAAAAGAAAGAGAAGCGTAAAGCCACAAAGGCTCATTGGCTGATCTCACAACAAGAAAATGAATAAAAATAAATAAAATTAAAGAAAAGGAGGGAGAGAGAGGTCTCTCCACAATAATTGGCATCAAATGCTCATAGGGATTCGCACTGTTGCTGAATTCCAAGATCTGCACCACCTTCTCTCAATTATTTAAACCCTCGAACCTTTTCCGTCTCTGTTACCCGATTGGAGGAGATTTTCAGTATAAAGAAAGAAGAGAGAGAGTGGGGGCCGGAGGAAGTCGGAACAAAAGGAAAAGGTGAACCAACTAGGGTTTCGTCGGCAGACCGCAGAAAGTTGAATAGACAGGTAAGGGTTTCTTGGTCTGTTTTCCCCTCTCTCTCTCTCTTTCTTTCTCTCCCTCTCGAGACTACATTTGTGGGGATCAACTTGTTTAGTTTCAGACAGTTTTTGGTTCCAGGAAGGGAGAATTGAGGGGTTTGCAGATTTGGGTTTTCGGTTGGGGAGAGAGAATTAGGATTCTGAGGTTTGGGTTGGTGTTGGGGGGTGGTTTGGGTATATGTGGTGTTTGAAGGTGAAAGGTAGATAGTTTGAGTGGTTTTGAGGTGGACTTTGGGATTTGAATTTGGGGTTTTAAGTGTGAATTGGTTGATTTCAGATGGCTGTTAGAGCTTAGGTGTGAGTTAAGGAGTTATTTTTTTTATCGGGATTGAGAAGTCCTTGAGGTTGGAATTTGAAGAAGTGGGTTTTGAGATTTGGTGGATTCTATCTTGGCATTTTGGGAGTTTGGATGCAATTTTCTGGGGAGGAGGGTTTGCAGAATTCTTTGGGTGTTACTAGGGCTGAAATTCAGGGTCTTCCCTCGGATTAAGGTGTTTGTGATTAAGTTTTAGCAGCTGAGGTTTATATTTACATCATTTGAAGAGTTTTGGACTCTAATTTGCATTGGATTGTGCTCTGTAGGGACGGATTAGAAGTCCTTGTGTTCTAGCTCTGGGATACCAGTGAATATTGCACAGTACCTTTGGAACTCTAGAAGAAAGTCCAGGGTTTGGATTCTTTCGACTGCGGACTGATGCCTTTTTAAACAAGCCCTGGTGATTCTTGAATGTTTCAGGTCTTAACGTTGGGCTAATATTGGCTTTTGAGTTTGGATTTGGGGCAGTTGCAACATTGCTGGATTATGATGCTGTAGGGAGTTGGAGGTCTTGCGATAAAAATGGCGTCTGACCCAAACATGGGTTTTCACCAGGATGCAATTCTGGCATCTGCATTAAATTGCCATGCAATTTCGTTTAGCTCAGGTTCAATGAATAGCTCATCAGGGATGATTTCCCTAGGAAATTCTGCTGGGATAAACAGTACGACTGGGATGATATTGGCTGGTAATTCTAGCATGATAAATAACTCCTCCATGATAACTCCGGCCAGCAATTCCTCTGGTGCTCTTCTTCTTGATTCAGTGCCAGGGCTCAAGCATGATGTAGACTTGGCTGTTGAATGGACTCCTGAAGAACAGTCTAAATTGGAGGAAGGTCTTGTAAGGTAGGTAGAATGCTTCTTTTTTCTTTATCAAGCATTCTTTTTCTCTGTAATGCTGCTGTTGTTGAGGAACTACTTGTGATTACTTATTTCACTAGAAAGGGTTTTCCTGCCAAAGTACTGTTATAATTTGTTGTCAGCAATGCCTTTTTGTATTGATATGTTACTAGATCTTCTTGTGGTATGTGATGCCAAGACCTTTTTATAATTTACTGTGCTGATAAAAAAGATGGCAAGAAGCTTTTAATTGTGGGGCATCGGAAATCTCATTTAATCCATTTTATAAGTTATTTTTAGAATTTCAAGGACTGAGTAAATTTCTAACTCATTAAAAATTTTGAAATAAAGTCCTTGATAATACTGCATCAAAAGGTGATCCAATTGGAAGAATGCAAGGCACCAGATGACCACCCAAAGGGTGGCTCCCCATATATTACTTAAACCAACCTTTAAGAAAAAAAAAGTGCAACCACTTGGGGGAATCTGCACCACCATTTACCAAGAGTGGCTTAATTCATGAGAGCCATTTTCCTAAATCCAAAACTTCCAAGAGACTTTGGTTGGCTTACTGAAATCCATTTGTGAAGATGGAATTTCTCTTGATATCTCTATCAGAATTATCTTTGTATTTTCTGAAATCTTTTAGCTACAGAAAGTGTCCTTGGGACAGTACAATGATAAACTGGAATGCTAGTTATTCACTTTTCTATTAGGTTCCTCCCTTATCTTCCCTTATAGTAGTAATACAATACTTTTATTTACCTTTCAAAAAAAAAAAAAACAAACTTTTTAAGAGTAATTTGACCAGAAAATGAGAGGGAACACCTCTTCCATCCAGCTAATGCCCTATATATCCTCTGCACCACTAGTTGTGTACCCACTTCGAGAATTGTTAATTGCTTGCATAAAATCCAAGTGCAGGGAAATGGCCCAAACAAGTGGTCCAAAATATCAGCAGACAAGCACAAAGGATGGCTCATAATTCCCTATATTAAAATGGTTTTACTTTCTAAATTATCATTTGCCACTTCCTAATTAAAGTGCTATTACTTCTTGTCTGACGTCAAATATAATTTCCCCCCTTCTGACTCTAAGATTACTCTGTTCTAGTTAGGCTACAATGATTTTTCTGTCATCATTGCTGCAAGATGGTTGTGAATCTTGTTGATCATTTTGATGTGCAGCTCTAGTGTGATTTGTCAGTAGTGCCATGTTTACTTCACTGCCTCCTTTTTAATGTTACTGCTGCTTTTTGATTGTGCTTTGTGAAATTCTTAGATTTGCTGATGAACCAAGTATTATGAGGTACATCAAGATTGCAGCCACAATTCCTGACAAGACTGTGCGTGATGTTGCTTTAAGGTGCCGTTGGATGACGGTAATCTTTTTGACTTTTCTCAGGATTTGGTTTCCATAAATTTCATTTATGGAACATCGTTTCAATTTGGCTTTGTGTCTGCAAAAGATGCTTCACATGGGATCATGCTTTACATTTCTTTTTTGATGTTCTTACTTTTTACTTGAAATATTTTTTAATTAATACTATTTCTAAATGGCTATGTCCACCACGAGGTTTATTCATTGAGAGGTATGCTTGGAATTTGTCAGTCATTGAGTGATTGAGGTGGATTACTACATTTATAGCTATAAATCAATTTAATAGAGAGATCTGCATAGATAGTTCATTTTATTCTTTTTAGATGAGTCACATTTATCTAAATTTCAGTTTGTTAAGTAACCAAGTGATTATTGAGTCTTCCATAAGCCTGTGTGATCTTGACTCCTATTTACTAGGTGGGTGTTTGGCATCGATGGTGTTTTCTGAGAAAATGGCACCACGTAGGCACCACATCAGAGAAAACGGTGCTTCAAACAACACCCTCTTGTTTGGTACCGTTTTTCCAGAAAAAAAAACGTTGCTCCAGACTACACCTTGGAAATCGGGAAAGTGTGGTATAGAGCAACGCCAAATTCAATGTTTTCTGAGAAAATGATGCGTTGCTGCTAGCGGTGCAAATGCAATGATGTGGCATCATCTTGGACGTTGGATAATGTAGATCAATGTTGAAAACGTTGCTGCCAGCACTGGTACCAAACAAAACCAGTTCTGTTTTCTCAGAAAACACCTATGTGGCAGCACCGGTTCCAAACAAAAAATAAGCACTTACAACTCCACATGCCCAGCACCGTTTTTATGTGAAAACGGTGCGATGTTCCCAGCACCGATGCCAAACACCTACTAGATTTAGAAATTTGAGTTTATATCCGATCAATAGTCTCACAGAAAAGAAAAGAAAAAACAGCATGGGAAAGAAGAGAAGATAAGAGAATGTGAGAGAGAATTTGAAGGGAGAAGAAAAATAATTGTGTGAGTGCACATACTTCTATTAGTATTTGTACTTTTTGGTTACAAGAATCAATTGACTAGATTGCCCCGCCCTGTGGCCCCACCCCAAATTAGAAACATAAAACTAAAGTGGAATGAAGAATTAACCTTTCTTCTCTCTGCAAGGTGCCAATTGGCTGGTTGGTATGGTCTCCTGCTGGTTGTAGCAGAGATTTGGGATCAAATCCTGCCTGAACCTGGGTGGGAGGAGGTTTAGGGGATGGAATAACCCCTTGGAGCAAAAAAAAAAAAAAGAAACCCTTCTCTCTGCACTCCTCAAGTTGATCATATATGTCATGCTCAGTTTGCTAAATGCATTAAACGATTTTGGTCTTTGCAACTCTTTTTGGTCAAAAAGTCAGCCAATTGGTTTTTATCCTTTCATAGGTCAAACAACCTATCAAGAGTAACTTTTTTCTCAAAATAAGTGCCTATCCACTTTGACATGTTTTTAGTATGATCATGTTAATTTTTTGAGACTGTATTAATTGCAGCCTTCATGTTGCATTACAAACATGGTTTGCAATATCAATGAAATTTGGTGAATTTTTCCCAGAATCTCCCCATTTAGATAGGCAGTGACAAAAAATTTCCCAAGAATCTTTCCTAATATCTCTGATATTTTGCTGATGTCAGCAATATTTTTAGATTTCATTGACGAATTATACATTTATGGCTTAAAACTTTAGAATATTATTAGAAACTTTTTGATATTTCATTAAATTCATCATGATTTTTTAAATGATTCCTAAAAGAATATATGGGGATTTGGTGATTAGGCAATTGGATTATTATATGATTCACTTATTAAATCACTATAATTCAAAAGAAAAAATGAAGAAAAAGGCACACAACTACAAAAAAGGATTATCAATCTAACCTAAATGTAAGTAGCCAAAAAGGAAAAAATTTTAAATGGCAGGTAAATGACATATCTAATGAAGAGAACATGGCTAAAAGGCATAAAGTGGAAAAGAAACTATATCTCTCTAGGGGGTAGAATCACATTAATCAAGTCCACCTTAGTAAACCTACCGGTGTACTTTTTATTTACTTTCAAGTTACTTGCGAAGGTTGCAAGGCAATTTGAAAAACTTATGAGAGATTTTCTTTGGGAACCAGGTGACTCAAAAAGGGACCATCGAGCAAAGTGGGATGTAGTTTCTAGGAAGAGGGAGTAAGGGGGTTTAGACATTGGTAACATTAGGTTAAGAAATTTAGCTTTGCTAGAAAAGTGGTTGTGGAGGTTTCCCTTAGAGCTGGACAGATTGTGGCACTTTGTACTAGAAAGCATACATGGATTGGCAGCAAATAGATGGGACACTGGTGTCGACTCAAGGGCTTCTATTTTTCCTCTTTGGAAAGCCATTGCTGGAATTTTGCTTGCCTTTCAACTGTTCGTTAGGTATGATGCATGCTTAGGTAACAAAATTCTGTTTTGGGAGGATCTTTGGTGTGAGAACACTCCCCTAAAGGATAAGTTCCCTTCTTTGTATTCCCTTTCTTTAAATAAATTTAAGACTATTTCTTCTTGCCAAGGGTCTGAAGGTTCCTGGGATTTGGGCCCAAGGAGAGGTTTGAGAGATTCACAAGTGAGTTGTTTTCTTTGTTTTTTTTTTTTTTTTTTATTTGATAAGAGTCATATTCCATTAATTCAAAGATCGGTTACATGAAAATCCCCTTAGAGAGGCACGAGGTGCTGCATCTCCATACAAAAAACACAAACTACATAAAAAAGTGCATGATTGTTACAAAAGACACAAATTACAGTTGCGCCTAGAACAATGTTTCCCTGTTTGTCCCTTGTTTTGCCAAGACATCAGGAAATTCGTTATCTGATCTTCCAACCCACTGTACTGTTACAGACATATTCCTTGTCAGCCATTTGAATTTCTTTATCTCATTCTTGTAGTTCCACGTGACATTCTCCGGATTATTTAACCAGTTCACCACTGTCTTAGAGTCCCCTTCAACCAGAAGCTGCTCCACACCCATTTCTTTTGCAAGAGTTATTCCTTGTATTGCAGCTAACAACTCTGCCCGAATAGAGTTACCAACACCTAAAGGGCCAGAGTATAGTAAGACAATCTCTCTAGCCTCATTCCTTAGTACACCTCCCAAACTAGAGGGACCCGGGTTGCCCTGGCTACTTCCATCAAAATTCAGCTTCAAAGAACCGTGAGGAGGGGGGCCCCAACTTGTCATTACTTTTATCTTTGAGGAGGAACAACTTGCTCCTTATAACCAATCCCTCCAACAGTCAGTAAAGGAGAAATGATCAAACAAATACAAGTAAAGGAGAACAACAAGAGCAGCCATTATTTGGTTGATTTGGGAAGAAAGAAACAACATGATCTTCCAAGGGCAAGAAAAATACAAGGAAGCACTTGTTGAGGGAATTGCCATCAAAATTTTACACTGGCTGAAAATTTACAGCTCTTTAAGGATTTCTCTTATGATGATTTGCTTAGAGGATGGAGTGCCATAGCTACTTCCTCCGCCTATTCTCGTATATAGTGTAGGAGAGTTGGTCCCTTTCTTTGCAGGCTACAGTAAAGCTGAATTTTGATGGTAGTTCTCTAGGCAACCCAGGTCCTTCAGGCATAGGGGGAGTCTTCATAGATGAAAGGAAAGGTGCTGGCCCTCTTCTCAGATCCAATTGGGGTGGGAGGCTCACTAAGAGCAGAACTAAAGGCCCTACTACGAGGTCTTAGACTGGTAATCGGTTGGATGCAAGCAAGAAGTTTAGGAGCATGGCCTTTTAGGCAATGGCTAAGGGAAATTTTGTACTTAGCAAGGGAGTTAAGGGTACAATTTAATTGGGTAAGGTCAACAAATGGGATGGTTGATGCTCTAGCTAAGTAGGGAGTAAATAGGGGGGCTTTATTTTGGGCTTGCTTGCTACTAGTTTCTTTAGCCATCCTTCAGGTGGTGACCAAGGTTTAAAATGTCGATGTCGGTGGAAATGTCACTCGTCCAAATATAAGAAACATGTCAGAAATATCATATGAAAATATTGCAAAAATTATAAAAATGGTGGAAACATTGTAAAATATGCAAAAGATAGAATGACATTATATGAAATGATAAAAGAAGCATAGGCACACCCTTTTAAATTATAATCTTGTTCCAAATCACTAAATAAAGCTAAGAGGAAATTTACAACACATTGTATTTCCAAACATCAGTCTTACAGCCTGTTATCCCCATCTTATTATTCTTTCTTAGCCTCCATTTCTTCTTAGCTTATACCCAAGTCAGTTATAGAGGCCTTGTATAAGCCAGAATGGAGGGATGTTATGAGAACTGAAATAGAAGCACTTTGTAAAAATCATACTTGGGATATTGTGGATTTGCCTAATGGAAAGGAACCAGTGGGATGTAAGCGGGTGTTCACTATCGAGTATTATGCTGATGGCACCATTGAGAGGTATAAGGCTCGGGTAGTAGCCAAGGGTTGTACTTAGGTATATGGAGTTGATTATATGGAGATTTTCTCACCAGTTGCTAAAATGACCACAATGAGAGTTTTGTTATCCTTGACAGTGAGTTATGACTGGCCCTTATATCAATTTGATGTGAAGAACGCTTTCTTAAATGGAGACTTGACTAAAGAGGTTTATATGTCACTTCCACCGGGTATGTATGGTAAGGAAATGTAGGGCAAGGTATGCAAGTTGAAGAAATCTCTTTATGGCCTCAAGCAATCCCCACGAGTTTGGTTTGATAGATTCAGAGCTACACTTGTTGAGTTTGGCTATACATAGACACAGTCTTATCATACCTTGTTTGTGAAGAAGAGAGGCACTCAGGTTACCTGCTTCATTGTTTATGTTGATGATGTTGTCGTTACAGGGAGTGATACAGAGGAAGTTCAGGCACTCAAGACATGCCTTAACTTAGAATTTGCTTGGTCTAAAGATGGCATCTTCATCTCCCAATGGAAGTATGTGTTAGATCTTCTCATGGAGACTGGGAAACTTGGTGCCAAACCTATTTCTACACCTATTGATGCTAACCATAAACTCTCAGTTGATGATGGTGAGCTTTTGGTAGATAGGAGAGTGTTCTAGAGACTTTTGGGGAAGTTGCTATACCTTTGCATGACACGACCAAATATCTCATATGCTGTTAGTGTGATCAGTCAGTTTATGCATGCCCCTACAAACACACATATGGCTGCTGTAGAACGAGTTCTGTGTTACTTGAAGGGAACTCCGGGAAAGGGTATCCTCTTCTCTAAGCATGGACACATGAAGCTAGAGGCTTACACAGATGCTGATTGGGCTAGTAGTATTGATGATAGGAGATCTACATCGGGTTATTGTGTCTTGGTTGCAGGGAACATTGTCTCTTGGAGGAGTAAGAAACAGTCAGTAGTAGCTAGGTCTTTGGCTGAGGCAGAGTACAAGGCAATGGCACATGGAGTTTTAGAGTTGTTATGGCTCAGGTCACTTTTAGAGGAGATGGATATTACACATGATAAGTCCTTGATGCTTTATTGTGATAATCAGGCTGTGATCAACATAGCTCACAACCTAGTTCAGCATGATAGGACAAAACATATTGAAGTTGATTGGCACTTTATAAGAGAAATGGTAGCTTTCGGAGAAGTTTGCGTTCCTTTTATTGCCTCAGGGCAACAGTTAGCAAGCTGGGCATGACTAATATCAATGCTCAGCTTGAGGGGGAGTGTAGAGATAATGGGTTGAATGAGCCTTAGTTTTTTTTTTTTTTTTTTTTTTTTCTCTTTAAGTTATGTTTATGACTTATGTTAGTAGGTAGTGGGCCTTAGTTATGGGCCTATTTTCTTGTTTTTATTGTTGTCTATAGTTATGGACGCCCTACTAAAGGGTGCTCATGTAATTATCCTTGTTTTTTACAACAAAAGAATAAAAGAGATCATTGGGGACTGAAGAGAGGTTTTAGAACAACTCTCTCTTCTTCTTCCTTTTCTTCCATCTTCTTCCTCCATCACTTCTCTCTCTTCAATCTCCTTCTTTTCTCCTATTTCTTTTCTTTTAATTCAGATTATTGTAGGTGTGATTTACAACTAGATCAAATTAAAATTCATAAACAAAACATATAAAACATATGCAAAGTGAAAATGTAAAACTAAAATTAAACATAACATATAAAACATATTCAAGCACTCAACAATTTGAGGACATGAAACTTTCGATCTCTTTATTTCTTTTCCAATCACATTACTCTAATTCTATGAGCCGCTTTTATCAAGCCCCTTGAGGCAAATGCAAATAAGTCTATGTTAGGGTCTTAAATTCTTAATCTGTGCTAAAAAATGGTTTTATAATTTAGTTTTAGTTCCTTATCAAATGTCTTGCCTTTGAGGCAAGTGCAAATAACCCAATTCAGCATTACAAGATGAAGCTTATTAAAGTGGATAGACTTCATTACAGACTAGGTGGTTTCAAGCAAAGTTTGTCTTTGTTGCTTCAGAGAATAAGCTAGTCGATATCTTCACAAAGGGAGCTCACAAGTCCAAGATGGACCATGGTATAAGCAAGCTGGGCATGGTTAACATCTATGCCCAGCTTGAGGGGGAGTGTTGAATAGCTTATATTGTTGCTCTTAAGGGTATTTTAGTCCGTTAGCTCATTTACTTTTCATGCTTTTATGTTGATGTTGGCCAGGTGCATATGTGACATTTCTTATGTAATTCAGTTGCTTGTATAAATAGAAAAAGGGAGCTGACACATCTCAAGTTCGATTGCTTACATGACTGATTTCTCTTCCTCTCTCTTCTTCTGCATCTGATTATTCTAGTAAAATTAAATCAGTTTTTATTGTTTTCCTGATAATTTCTGGACAAGTCCACTGTTCTTGAGAAAATTAGTTCAGTTTCTTTTGATAATTATGAATGCAAGCAATAATTGGAGACACATAAATACTTGTATTTAATGTCTATTGATATTAATATTTTATTAACAAAGTTTTAGCAAATCTTGTTTGTGGAAATGCATTCAGTAGGGTGGATTTGTTTCCATGTTAATGGCAAGTAAAGAATCCCACATAGTTGACCAATATTGGGTATCTGATGTACATCTACACATTCAAGACTTGAATTGTTTACTTATCCTACTGAGTTATAGTTATCTGTATAATAACATTTTTTTAGTAATATAATTATAAGCAGAAGAAGGAGAATGGTAAGCGAAGGAAACCTGAAGAACACTACATGGGAAAGAAGATAAAAGATAGGAAGGTAATTTTGTCTATCTTGAGAATTTCTGCAGTCAATATTTCTTGTTTCCTTACTGATCTTGTTAAAACAACTTTCTTTAAATAGTAATTTCTTGTGTACTACTTTAGCATATGAGTTCCAATGTGAGATTCAAAACTTGTTCATGTTACCTAATATATATTCTTTTCCTTTTCTGCTAATCTCTCTACAGCCCAACAACACCAAATACAGAATATCTAATCACAAATACCCCACAAACTTTAAGATAGTGTGTGAGAGATCTGCATTTTTTTTTTTTTTGGGTGGGGGATTGCAAACTGTATAGGTAGTACTGTAGTAGTAGTCTAGTAGGGAAAGGGCAAGGGGGTCATTCCCTCATGGGAATGGAATCTTTGTAGGGCTTATTGTAGTGGTGTATTTTTTTATAGGGAAGGGCTGAGGTGTCAGTTGTGGTTTGAGGTTATAGTTAGTTCTATAGCACTCGAGATTGGCTTTGATTTGAGTTGGACCTGTGTTTGCTGAGTAACTTTTGCTCATGATGTTCTGATTTTACTTCTTGTTTTTTACCTTTCTGTATATGTTGTCTTATGTACGTTTTTAGTGATTTGGGAGGTCTTCAGGATTTTTGACTGAATTAACGTCCTTGTAATTTTGTTTAAAATATGCGGTTTTCTTCCCTGAGGTTTTGCATTGGTTCTCCCTCCCTTGGGGAAGTGTATGATAGTACACTTTTTTTATTCGCTTTTATTATTTCTAATGAATTTTCCATTATAAATTGATAAAGTGTATCTTTATGGTTTCCAAGAGGTTGTTTTGAGAAGTTGCGTTCTTGGTTGGCTATCCCATAAACAGCCCACCTTGGAAACACTTGTAAATCATTCCTTTTAATAATCACAAAAAGAAAAACATGGTTTTTTCATCATTATAAATGAACAAATTCATTTATGTTGATTATAAAGAAATGAAAGTGGATGGCAAATAGCAGAGAAAGTAAATGAAAAATTGTAAGAGAAGAAGAAAGAACTGGTGTTGAGAGGGTCAAAATTGTTGGGCAGTCAGCCTTTTTTTTTAATTAAATAACTCTAGTTTCCCAAATGTAGATGAAAAACACAACTTTTTTTATTGACTACCTGTTTTACCAAAATAATAAAGATACTGAATAACTCTAAATTCCCTCTCAAACAGCATAGTCATAGATATTGAGTATGCTCAGCTTGACACATAAACCATCGACTTTGGGCTTAGCCACTTCTTTTGTGAGAACATTTACAAACTTTTTGGCTTCAAATAATTCATTGACACTTAAACCGAAATGAATTTTTCTCTGAAGAAATGGTGGCCAACCTCTATATGCTTGGCTTGGTAATGTTGGACCTTATAATATGCAAGGTTCAAAGTATCGAGGCACCTGATACACACGGACTTGCATATCGGGTGTTCTCCCAAAATTTTACAAGGGGTCTGTCTTAGGCCTGGCTATCCTCTAAAAATGGTCAATGGTTGTAACACCTATTACTTAGCAGATCGGGGTGCTACTGGAGTCTGGAATGATACGATATGCCCGATATGCCCTGATACATTGTGATATTTTGAACCTTGGTTGTATGGTTGCATAGGCTTTTCAAAATCAATTCCCAGTCCTCCTAAAAAGGGTTTTCAATCACAATAATTTTGAGACAACGTGAGCCACATAGCTCTATGCTTAGCCTCCAAACTTGATCTAGCATTGGTTTGAGTCCTACTAGGAGTATTGAGTCTAACCGTTTGAGTCCTAAGACTATTATGAGTCTAACAGTTTGACTCCTAGGACTATTATGAGTTTAGAGTCTATAAATATGTATGGACATTTTACACAAAAGCAATGAAGTTTATTGAGTTTTCTTCAGCTATGCTAGTTATGGTGAGTGATTCTCATGCCCTAGAGTGATTCTTGGCACCCTGTGAGTGATTCCAGGTATTTTCTCTCTTCTTTCTCTCCTTATTTTTTTTTTCTTATTCCTTCAATAAGCCATTGCAACCATCAACATCCATAAAATTCTGATCCAAGAAGACCATTCAACATTCGCTAAGGACTAGAACCGAGCTGGTCCTACATCACTACTCCATGACATTAGATTGTCACCCACAAAGGCACACTAACCTGGTGTAAATATCTATCACCAATATTTATCAGTAAACTCATCCAACTTCAAGTGACCATGGTTTCCTTACCAGATTCCCTTACCAGTAGTATATTTCAGATATCTAAGGAAGGATCCTTTTAACTGCTTCTAGATGGGGTAGGTGTGTCTGGTGCATATACTGACTGAAAGCACTCACAACATATGAGATATCTGGACAAGTTAGACACAAATACAACAACCAACCAACCAATTTTTGGTATTTGTCCCTTGACCTCTTGTAAGCCTCCTTTACAAACATTCAACTTATGGTTGAGATCAATAGGAGTAACATTTGGTTCAACTCCCAACTTACCAGAATTCTTTAGGTGATCTAACACATTTTCATTGAGATATGTAGATACCCTTTTAGGACTGAGCTACCTCTATGCCTAGAAAAGGCACAAGTAACTTAGTATCTTTATTTTAAATTCAGTAGAAAGAAATTTTTTCAATTGGCATCTATAAAATAATTCTTTAATTGTCTGATTTTATTTGGATTTTTCCCTGTAACCACAGTATCATCCATGTAGACCATTAGTATAAGCAAGTATCGTAATCTATTTTTGGAGAGAGTGTGATTAGCCAATCTGCTATATTGCCCTGTGTAACCTTTTGAACCATGCTCTTAGTGGCTATTCAGCATATAACCTTCCTCCTAACGATCTTCATTCAGGAAGGTATTTTTGACATCTCAATGATATAATGGTGAAAAAAAAAGAGGAACAAGAGATACCAACATCCTAACTGATGCAACACATGCACTTGGTTAGATCAATTCGAGTCTCTTTGGAACCCAAAGAGAAGGTAACAGGTTTGAAGAGAAGGAAGAAATGATATGAGGCCTCATTCTCGTCTTTAAGGAAATATATGGGAGAGCAATTGGCAAAAATAAAGGGTGGGTCTGCTTAAGATAAATATTTTATTGAATATGTGGGAGTCTTGGGTTGTTTGAAATTACTATTTATGGTAACTACCAGACTTATTATTTATGGTAAATCTCATAAATACTTTTTTAGTGAACTCACGGTTTACTATTACTTGAGAAATGAATTTAGAGAGGTTGTATTTTTTTAACTTGGGTCCTTTGGAGATTGGGGACTCTACTATGGCAGAATTACTAGCTGCCCTACAAGGGGTGTAGTTTGCAAGTGGGTGGTGAGGAGATAGGTAAATGCATTGGCTGATTGGTTAGCCAAGCAAGGGCAAGTAGGGAGCATTTGTTTTGGGCTCAGTTGTAATTTGATATTTACTCCTATAATCTGTTTGGGAGAGGCCACAGCTTGTGCCTCTCCAAGGGATGTATAAGTTTGAATCTCCGATTTATTAAAAATTTCCATTATTCATATAAAAATTGATGTCTTTAAATTTAGTTTTAGTGGGATTAAGAAAGTGTTATTAGAGTTGTTTAGGAGTTGGAGTCCTTATTTAAGTGTCATTGTGAGTTAGTTATGGATTTGTTGTAGTTTTAAAACAATTAGAAGTTGTTTTGTGTCAAAAAGGACGTCCAAATTCATAAGTTGAGTCTATAATAGTCATTATAATTGGAGTTGAAGGAGAGTTGATTTGATGAAATAAAGTTTGGTTTGGTGAATTCTGGTTGTTGCCAAAAATTCTCCTCTCCTCTCCTCTCTTCTCTCTCTCTCTCTCTCTCTCTCTCTCTCTCTCTCTCTCTCTCTCTCTCTCTCTCTTCTAAAGACTCTGTCTTGTTGCTGATTACCCTAACAGCAAGAGTTCTTCTCTCTCTTTGATTTCTTGCTCATTCCTTGGTGGATAGCAAGCATTCTACTTGCTTTTCCATCCATATTCTTCATATCTAATCACCCACAACCCTTCATTCACCCCACAAAGCCCCACCACCACCAGATCCTAAATTAATAGGACCCCTACTCTGTCCTACATCACTAACTGAATTCATTTTGGTTCCTAAGTGTTACTCTGAAACTAGCTTTCTACAGTTAGGGAGAGTCCTAGAACTACACCCTTGATGGCTTGTACATTACTGGTTCTGTTTGTTCAGTGTCACCAAGTAACAAGGAGAGAAAAAAATGGAAGTTGAAAACGGAGGCAAGAAGCCTGCAAATCCTCCCTTCCTGTTCTCCCTGCCCCCATTTCAAGGAATATTACAGATAATCAACTGAAAAAAAACCTTCACCACCTGCTAGACATATGAATCAAGCCTTCAAAGCCTAAGATTTTAGCAGAGGAATATAAAAAAATCTAGTCATATTGAAAAGGGAATTGCTCCCAATATGAACGCTCTGCTTCCAAATGGGAAGATCCTTGACTATTTTCATCATGCCCCTGCCCTCCTTTTCTGATGCTTCTTCAGCTGGAATATCTTTGATTCTCTTATCCTCAGATTCCAGACCTCTTGAGATTTGAAATCCTTGTTATACTGTATTCCTAACCAGCTCCAGTTCCTTCACTTATCCCTTACTGTGCCAATGAAGCTTCAACTTTAAGCTAGTATTTACTGCTGAATCCATTAGATTATTTATATTTTGGGTTTGTTTACAAGGGTTATTTTCATTTTATTAATTACTATCCAAGTTACAAGTAGCATGATTTAATTTGATTTTCTTTGCAAATATGAAGGAATAACGTCGCAAGAAACAGAAAAAAGATGATTGTCCATAGAAAAGTAGTTACGTTACATTTTAATGCTCAATACTCCCTAGTGCTTTTGCAAATGATCCTAGGAAAACAAATTATGTCCTGATGGCCAGAAACAGTTATGGGGACTACAGATGCCTATTTTTATGATTATTATTGATTAAAAAAAGATGCATATTTTTATGATTCATAGTGTCTACCTGTCTGCAAACTGTAAATTTTGCAGTAGTCATGCATTCCGACTGGTAGTTCTGAGGGTAATATTGCTTAAATTCTTACTGTACTTAATAAATTATAAAAAAAATTCTTACTGTACTTGATAGAATCCTTCATGGGTTATAATTTTCTAGGAAGGGTTTATGTGTTCTTTCAAACATTCCAAACTTTGTTTTTTATTGTCATTATAGGTTTTCTCTTTTTAGTTGTTAAATTGTCAACATTTAGGATGCTATCATATATAGGTACCAGAAATTCTTATGGTGATGCTTCTTCAGGAAAAATTGGCAGAATCTTCCTCGAAGGCAATTTTATCTCAAGCTCCACCACTAAATGTAGCTGCTTATTCTCATGTGATGCCTCATATTGACTATCATGATCGGATATCTTGTGAAGGTTGGTTGGTTGTGTTTTCTTTTCAAGTAATCTTTACTTGTGATTATCATTTTTGCTTTACCAATGTGAAATTGGAAATTTCATTAATAGTAATCTTACTAGAGAATAATCTCCATACTAAGTACAGGGCCAGTCTTCTGATATTTATTTATTTATTTAATTCTAATAAATTTTGTCTGACACCCATTTTCTATGTTGTAAATTTAGGTTATTATTTTATTTATTTTTTATGTATTGATTTGTTATTTAATTTAAGAGATTGAATCAAGTTTTATTTTTAAATTATACCCCATTTTATATGGATCTTATGTCATTTGAAATTAGTTTTGTTTTTGTTTTTTTCTTTTTAGTGGAGGTAACTATCACTAAAATTTTTGGAGGTAACTACCATTTGAATGGGTAGACGCATGTTGAAATAAAGCTTTTGTTTGAGAGTGGGAATAACCAGTAACCACTTTTGAGATATTATTTCTTGAGAAAATAAGATGCCACTTGTGTGAGGGAGAAACTCTCTAGTCCGAGGGGCTTTGCTTTTAATATATTTATTTATTTATATTATGCCAAGCTCTTGAAGCAGGAAAGGCATTGGGGAATTCCCCAACCAAAAACCTGTAGGACTTTAATGAGAAGTTGCCACTATTTTCACCAATCCACCTTCTAGTCCTGAGAGCCCAATTGAGGAGAGTGGAACCACAGTACCTAGAGGATTTCCATCAACTGATCTGACTTCCAATCATTCAAGTTTCTTCTGAATGATGAGAACAAATTGACTGCAAGATTAGCAAGAGAATTGCAGTCTCTAACCGGCACCTCTCTGTCCTAGGTAGCTATGAATGAGGCTGGAAAGATCTCCATCAGAGATTGCTGCCTCCGGCAACATATATCCAACCAGAAATTGGTTCTTCTACCATCTGCAATTTTTACTCTAAGCCCCTGTGAGAAAGCTGAATATGCCTTTCCAAACTGAAGTACCATTTGATTGAGTGGCAGGAGTTAGAATGAGGCATTTGAGTAATTAGTTATTAAATTGTTTTAACATTTATTTAATAAAAACTAATAATTAAATTAATTAATATAATTATTAAATAATTTACATTTATGAATTGTTTTAATTAATTAATTAGTCATTTAGTAATAAGTTTATAAGTTTTGATTAAATTATTTTAATAATTAATTAAATTAATTAATAATTAATAATTAATGATTAAAATAATTATTTTAATTATTAAAAAGTAATTAGATGAAATATTGAAATGATTGTTATTAAAATAATTAGTTTAATAATTTATTAGTAAATAAATGAAAATAATTAATTTTTTTGAAGAAATGTAAAATATAATGTATTAAATTAAAATAATTAATTACTGTAATAATTAAAATACTACATGATATATAAATAAGAAAATTATGAAATGATTAAAATAATAAGAAAATAATTGAAGAGTATTTAAAAGACCAAATAATAATTTTCTTTTGTTATTATGTTTTTCACATTTTTTATATTATAATAATACTCTTAATTTATATTAACCATATCTATAAGTTGGTGGTACTTGTACCCCCCTCCCCATTGGTCACCTGAACGGGTACCTACTTGTACGAAATACAGGTGTTGCTGTGAAATCCTACTTGTACGAAATACAGGTGTTGCTGTGAAATATAAGGAAAAAATGGGAATCTGATCATAATTATGTTGAATGATGGGGAGCTTGTACGATTTCAGAGCGTTCAGCCTTATGGGCAAGAACACTCTGAAATCTTAAAAATTGGTAAAGGTGGTTTTAAGTGGTAAGCATTAAGAGAAAATGAAATGGGCCTTAAACAATGTTAAAGATGTCAACTGTGTTGTGTCACTTAATCACTGATTCACATTTTTTGCTAAATGGTGCAGTTTCTGCACCATAGATTTTGCTTTTTTTTTGTTTTTTTAATGAGTAACTCAGATTCCTAGTTATATGTGAACTTCAGTGGAATTTCTCAAAGATTTTCAGCAGGTTATGCTTTTAGAAATGCCAGCAAGTGCAATATTTGAAAAGTTTCATGGTAAACCCATCATGACAGGGTCCTTTGTCCCCTTCCATTTCAAAGATGACCTAAATAAATCTCCTCCTTAGAAAATTCCTTCTCCAGGTCTGAACTTTGCAGATTGGTAGTGTACCAGGCAATCAAAATGGATGCCCTCAAACTTTAGCTTACTAACCCATTTTCTTGGTGCAATTCTTCAAAGAAGACACTATGCTGCCTTGAATTCTGTTTTCATCTTGAAGCAAGTAACCATTAATTTCTACTTTTGGGATGGTGTTCTCCCTTCTTCTAGCATTGGCTATCTTCTGAAAATAGGCTTTGTTCTGGTCTCCTGCTTTTCACCAAATGGCTCTAGATCCCTACCTCTACTTGATTTTGGAAAACCAGCTTTTCATAATGTTGCTTTTGTAGCCAGTCTTTCCTTTCTTCTACATTCAGGTATCCAGACTCTTTAAATCTAACTAAGCTCATTAGGTATCTAGACTCTTTAAGTCTATCCAGAGACAGAAGATTGAACAAGAACTCCTAAATGTGTCCCTGTTTCATTCTTTGTTTTTTTTTTTTTTTTTTTTTTTYYTTWAAGCCGATCATGTTCTTGCTCATTACGTAACTTGCTGTCCCATCCACTTCCAAAAAGTTCCACCTATTCCCGACAGATGCTTGAATATCAAGGACTTAGGTTTGGATACTCTCCTTCTACAGTTAGGTAATATTGGCATTGATCCGAGGCTAATTGAGGGAGAGTTTCTTAATGTACATTTGGGAATTATCCTCCCATTGCCAATAAGTTTAGAATCTGTCTAGTTTGAAAAGGGTGGGGGATTCCTGGTTATTAGTCCAGGTGAAATCTGCACTGACATAGGGAGATCAATTAACTCCTGCCTGTCCATCAAGTCAGTAATTTGCATCTTTCCCTAATCCAATCTTTGCCCCCTGCTCCTTTCATAGATGGACCTCACCACATTGAAGTCTCCCCCTATTACCCAGAGCAGATTGCAATATCTCTCTTAAATCTCCTTTAGTTCTTCCCACATTAAATTTCTTTCACCATTACCATGCGGCCCGTAAACATGGACACCAGCCACTGAAAACCATCTTCACCAGTCATATGCTCAAATAAGGAATAATGCCCTATTTCTTTATTAGTTACTAAGAACATAGTAGGGTCCCAAATCATTGCAACATTCCAGACCAATAGTTCTTCTCCTCGAGTTTAGGCCCTCACATTCCATGTCATAAGTTTTATGCTTACCATCATAACCTTCCTGACCAATAGTTTTTTCCCCTTATCTTTTCTTCCCTTCCCTTTTCTTTTCTTTTCTTTCCTTTGCTCTTTTTTTCTTCTCTTTCTTTTTCTTTCCCTTCCCTTTCCTTTCCTTTCCTTTCCTTTCCTTTTTTTCTTTCTTCTTTCTTTTTTCTGTCTTTTTATATAAGATGTGCATGAGGCGTACGCCTCTAGCACGCCTCATGAAAAAAGCGCATGAGGCGTACACCTCTTGCACCTGAGGTGTACGCCTCAGAGGTGTCAACGCCTCTGGCATACGCCTTAGGGCATTTTGGGAGTGCCTCGCCTGGAGGCCTCCAGGCATATGCCTCCCATGTCTTTTAAAACACTGATCCTAACCACCTTTTCCAGCCTGAACAACTCTTCGATAGGAGAGCAATAGCAATAGTGAGGCATACACCTCAGAGGTGTCAGCGCCTCTGGCATATGCCTTAGGGTGTTTTGGGAGTGCCTCGCCTGGAGGCCTCCAGGCGTACGCCTCACATACCTTTTAAAACACTGATCCTAACCACCTTTTCCAGCCTGAACAACTCTCTGACAAGAGAGTTTAGGAATAAGAATGGAAGGGTTATCAGGTTATTCTCATATCCAATTTGTGTGGGAGACTCATTAAGAGCTGGGGTTCTGGCTGTCATGGAAGATGTGCAAAAGGCAAAGGATATGAATGTGAGCAAGCTGATTATAGAAGGAGATTCAAAGCTGGTTGTGGATTAGTTGAAAAAGGAAGTGGCTTTTGGATTTTCAATGGTGAGATAAAGAAATTTAAGTGGTTGACACAAAACCTGGAAGCTGAGTTCAGCTGGGTTAAAAGGACTGTTAATGCTTTTGTGGATGTACTAGCAAAACAAGGGGTAGGAAGAAACCAAATGTTTTGGGTACAATTGTAATCTGTACTATGCTTATAATTCTGGTGAGGAGAGGTAAGAAAGGTTACCTCTCCTCTGTTGTGTAATTTTCCTTTAATTTAATGAAATTCTGTTATTGATAAAAAAAAGGAGAGCAATAGTTTGAGACAAGGTTCAAAATTTTGATACGATACGCCCCGTATCGGGTGTATCATATTGTATCTTTGGGGTTCCAATACACCTGTTTATAGGTGTTTCGGGACCCCCTCTTTTTTTAATAAAAAATATGCTATTATACCTCCCCAAAAGCCAAATTTTGAAAAAAAAACTAAAAAGAAAATTATAAAAGCATGTGTTTCTAAGTACTGATACGCCTCTGCCGACACGGGCGTATCGATACTTTTGACCTTGGTTTGAGATTCCTACTTTATATCCAAGGAACTCACCAAACAGGGGCAGGTTTGACAACATCTAGATAGAGGGTTCACTTTTACCGGTCTTGTTACAGACAATAATCACTTTGCATGTGGCCATTACTGCCCTAGAGTTGCCACAATGAAAGCTATTTGTTAGTGGTGTTAGTGAAGGGGTATTTCAGTCTTTGTACTTGTTGAGAATGCTGATGTGTACTGTTATGTTAGTTCGAGTGCCTCTTACTTAAAGAA